GCACCGGCTGCTGAAGCCCTCTCTCTGGGGCACGTGTTCTCCTGTCAGAGGGAAGAGTTGTGCTCTCCTCTAATGTCTCATTTCTAAAACAAACTGTTGGTTAACCCTGAGCTAAAGTGTCTGAGCATCAGGACAAAAAAGGGAGGAGAATGCTGCAGGTGCCCAGTGCCACCTGCAGGGGCCTTCAGTCTCTTCTGTGTTGAGGAGACCATGTCAAATCACCTGGGACTGGGGTGGCATTTGATTCATCCAGACCATTTCTCTCCCATTGTGCTGCCGGTCCAAGATGCTTTGGGAATGGGTGATCAGGTTTACCCTCCTTTAAACTCCGTAAGAACCCTGGAGAGGCAATCCTAGCTAAGCTCCATGGCCTGGAAAGGCAAGACAGGAATGTCATGCCTCTGTTCTACAAGAGAAACTTCAAACCCCATGGGGGGAAAAAAATCAACAGCAGTAAAGCAACCACGTTCAACCCCAACCTTAAAGACCTATCTCTCGACGAGTTTCCTCTTTGAAAGCTTATGGAAAGTCAGTCACCGGTCCTTATGAGTCTATTGTAGAGGGGAACCCTGGGAACAGGGCTCACCCTAGGAATCTCCCAGCCCCTAGGGCACTAAGGTTCTCTGAAGCTGAGGGCATAGCTCAGTAATAGAACAGTTACTTAGCATGCAAAAGAAGACCTTAGATCAATCCCCCAGCAACACTGAAGGGAGAGAGAGAGAGAGAGAGAGAGAGAGAGAGAGAGAGAGAGAGAGAGAGAGAGAGCACCTTTTCCTTTGGGATGTGTCCCTGGAACAGATGATGTATTCATGTGTTAAATTTTGAGGGAGAGTCTTGGGAGGTAATTAGGATCAGATAAAGTCGTGAAGAAGGAGCTGGAGCTCTGTGGTCCAAGAAGAGGACAAGAGAGGGTTGGGATATGACTCAGCTGGTAAGATGTGTTTCCACAAGCATGAGAGCCTAAGGTTGGATCCCCAGCACCCACATCAAAAGCCAAGCACAAGTCTATAATTCCAGAGCTGGGGAGGTACAGATAGGCAGCCCCTGGAAGGTTGCTGGCCAGCCAGTCTAACTGAATCAGCAAATGCTGGGTTCATTGACAGACTTCATCTCTAAATAATAAATAATAATAATAATAATAATAATAATAATAATAATAATAATAATGTGAAGAACAATCAAGAAAAATAATCAGTGTTAACCTCTGGCCTCCGTGTGCACATGTGCACACATATGAACACATACACCACATACATTCAAAACAAAGCAAAAACAAGGGAGACCTAAGAGGCATACTTGTACCTTGCCATTTGGTGTCCTCCACCATGTTATACAGTAAGAAAGTCCTCACCAGATGCCTCCAGAACAATGAATTAAATAGATCTTTCCTCTTTACAAACTACTTAGTCTATGGTATTGAGTTATAGCAACAGAAAATGGACTAAAACGTTCTCTAACACTTAATTTCCTCCAGAGAGCTAACTCACAACTTCCCTAACTTCTAACACAGAGATCAACAGAAACTCCCTTTTAGGGGAAAGCAAAGGACCCAGAGGTTTTGGCTCTATTTAGGAAGTGAGGGGGAGGAAAATGGAACCCACAATAAGCTGCAGTTAGTTGCATCCTATGCCACTCAAGGCCATGGTGCGAAGAACAACTCTATAATGTGGAGACCTTCTATGGTTCTTTGAAGAAAATGCTAACACTCTGTTCTCCTGACAAGTTCTTTCAGCCACGGAGAGACAGTGAGAAGACAGAGGTGGGGGGAGGGGCAGGTCTGGTAACTGGAAAAGCATGGCTCTCACCACTCAGATGACCCCATAATGGGATTTCCTTTGGGATGCTGCGGTGCCCTTGAACGTGTGAGCCACTGGCATTGGCACCACCACTTTCTCTGGGAACCCTTGGCTGGCATCCCAGTGTCTGGGTTGGAACAGATATCACCTATTTGCTCCCTTGTCTTCAT